TGGTTGGAACTGGATCTAACATACAAGTTGAAGGCTTAGATGAAGACAACAATTTTGCTAATTCAGAAAGTTCAACTGGATCAAAGCAGTCTAAACCCGGTTCAGATTCCATGACTACCTCAGGTACAATCGCGGATAGAGGAGTGTTTATGATCTTATTTTTAATAAGATCAATCTTATTTATAAAGAATCTCATATATATATGGGATGTACTTTGGAAAATGCAACTAAAATACATAAAAGCTATGAGTTTATTAACTGAAATGAAGCTCTAGCGGAAGTTCAATTGAAGAAACACTGGCTTACCTCCATCCAATCAGAAGCTGATCCGTCTCTGACGCGAGCCAATCAGCTTCGAACTACTCCACCACGAAGCCCAATCAGCATCCTGCTTTTACTTTAAAAGCACCTTCAAATCCTCGTCTCAGCCCGCTATCCAGCAAACGCAATGTCAGATTTTGATTCAGACCACCCTGCCGGGTCCCTGTTCCTCAACCTATTCTCCCTGCTCGGAGAAGCTCCCGTTTAGCCGCTCTCACATCTCCTTCTTCTGCATTACACTCCAGGGGCATATTGCCAGGCTCCGACCTAGACTCTGCTCAGCTGTCTCAACTAGCCTCCCTCCTACCTCCTCGTGATTCATCTCCATCTCCCTCGCCTTCCGCTCTTCAGTCTGCTCCGATTCCTGGCCGCAAAAGAACATGCAAGTCCTCCGCTCCCCCCGCCAAGCGCAGCAGAGGGCGTCCCAGATCTATCCCAGCAACAGCCACCGCTACGCCCGCTCCTTCTCATCGTTTCGATGCAAGCCTTGGACCCTCTTCAGCTTCTCGATCCATAGCAGCTCCCCCGACTAATCCTTCTGCCGTTGAACAGCTCTCAGCCTCGCTCCGCTCCACTCTGGACTCACTCGCTCAATCAGTCTCGACGCTGTCGGCACGCCTCAAAAACTTGGAAAATCCCCACACTGCCATGTCATCCCTGCCACTGTCTGCTCAGATGGACCTCCCTCCTCCCCTCCCCTCATTCACATTAGCAGACACCCGCCCTGGGCCAGCCCTAGGTAAGATGTATTTAACTATGTTTTCATTCATAATTTTCTATCTATTTGAGTTCGCTCATTATGCTTTGTCTGCCTCCGTATTCAGGCATACCGTATATTCCCATGCATGCTAATATTTCCACTAGCCTCCGTTCTAAAATTATTCAAGGGAAGTATGTTAATTTAGTCTCTCTTATTCTTCCCTCCCCTGAAGTCGATCAGCAGGTCGCATCAGCAGGTGACGTCACAGCTTTCTTTAAATCATCCGATCCCCGCCTATACAGAGATCTTTCTATTGGCCAATTTCTTGCCGCTTTTAGCATCTATCGCGACGTTCTATGCTCAGTCTACCCCGATCGCAGAGTGGAGCTAGATACCTATTTATCTCTAATAGCAGACCTCCACCTTAAATTTGGCGGTTACCTTTTCTACCACTATCATAAATCATTCTCTTCTAAAGTAGCTACAACTCTGGTTCAACACGGCGTCCGTTTAGATTGGTCTGTCTTGGATACAAACATTTTAATCATGCTGACTCAGTCCACTCCCTGTTCTTTCTGCGATTCTATCGGTCACCCCAGCGCCTTCTGTCCATCAATTCCTTTTAAGCCTAGCACTCCTTCCCTCCCTCCTTTGCTTCCTTCTACTTCTGGTCCGCGCACAGACTCCAGAGGTAGAAAATTTCAGGTATTTGACTCCAAACCCATCTGTAACAATTTCAATGAAAGTTTCTGCTCTTTTCCTAAGTGTATGTTTCTTCACATTTGTAGCTTCTGCAAGGAGGCTCATCCGAAATCAGTCTGTCCCCGCCGTGCACGCTTCATAAAAAATTGTACCTCCAAACCTTAGCAGCCCGTCACCTTTCCACCCCTATTATTATTTCTGAGTTATCGTCCTGTCTCCTTCACCAACCTGACCGTACTTTTGTTAATTTCATTCTTTCTGGTCTTTCTCAAGGATTTCATGTAGGAGTTTATAACCCCCCCTCTCTCACCCACATATCCCCCAATCTTCAATCTGCTCTGAAAGAACAAAATACCGTAGATCTACTTCTTCACTAAGAAGGGTTCATGATCGGTCCCTTCAAAACCTTTCCCTTTGCTCCCTTCCGAGTTAGCCCTTTCGGAGTAGCCACCAGAAAATATTCTGGGAAAAAGAGGCTCATTCTGGATTTATCCGCCCCCCACTCGGGTCGCCACTCCTCGATCAATAGCCTCATCCCGCCTGCCCCCTTTTCCCTTTATCACGCATCCGTGGATCACGCTATTCTTCTGATCAAACGCACCGGCCAAGGAGCCTGGCTGGCTAAAGACGACATTACCGATGCATTCAAAATCATCCCCATTCATCCCTCCCAGTGGCACCTGTTTGGTGCTAAATGGAAATCCTTCTTTTATTTTGCCGTCCGTTTGACATTCGGGTGCAGGAGTAATCCATGTCTCTTTGACAAACTCTCAGAAGCTCCATGCTGGATTCTCCTCAAAGTCACCCATCTTCCATGCGTTCTTCATCTCCTGGATGACTTCCCTCTTATTGATCCTCCCTCTGAACTTCCCAGTCTGTCTCTTACCAAGCTAAAGGAGCTCTTTTCCCGCCTTGGTGTTCCCCTGTCTGAAACGAAAACTATTGGCCCCGCAACAAAAATCGAGTTTCTCGGCATCAAACTTGATTCAGTGGCCATGATGGCATCCCTGCCTGCAGATAAACTGTCTCGAATCAGTGAGATTTCTCAGTGCTATTGTTCCGCATCAGTCGTTTCTAAACGCCTATTGCTCTCCCTGCTATGTCATCTAAATTTTGCCATGCGCCTTATTCCTCAAGTTCGCTGTTTCATTTCCCGGTTGCTTGATCTGGCTAATTCCGTTCCCTCCCTCCTTGATCAGGTTACTCTGAACGAAGGCTGCCATTCGGATCTTTCCTTCTGGTCCAGACTGCTTCTAAATTGGAACGGAAAATAATTTTTCTATGACAACATTATTCAATCTCCTGACATGCTGCAATTTTTTACGGATGCTGCCCCATCCGTAGGTTTTGGAGGGTTCTTTCAGGAGAGGTGGTTCGTGGGTTCATGGCCTTCTTTATTCAACACCCAATCATCCGCTTTGTGTGAGGTCTACCCTATAGCCATAGCTTGCCGTCTTCGGGGCCCGCTTTGGGAACGAAAACGCATATTCGCCTACTGCGATAACATTGCAGTCGTTGAAGCCATAAATAAAGGTCGCTCCTCCTCCAAAATCTCTTGCCCTTCATCAGAAGCATCACCTGGCAAGCAGTCACTAACAATTTCATCATCTCAGCGTGTCATGTTCCAGGCCATTCTAACACTGCTGCTGATGCTCTCTCTCGTTTCAAATTTCAGACATTCGGTCATCTTCGACCTACCTCCGTTCTCCATCCGACCCCTGTTCCTCCTCCAGAGGAATTCACTCTCAATTGACCCACTCTCTTCATTCATATTTACTTTCCTCCAGCTTCTATATGAAATCTGGTTTAGCTCCCTCTACCCTCAGAACCTACAACTTTGCATGGCAATTATTTGCAAAATTCTGTTCAAGTCTCCAAATTCCCCTGTATCCTTTACTCATTACTTCTGTTATGGCTTTCATCTCTTACTGCTTCGATAAACGCCGCTTCAAATTATCTTACATTCACAGCTTGTTAGCCGGCATCAATTTCTTTTCCAAACGCAATAACCCTAATTCTTCTAGTCTTTTCGCCAACTACTCCATTAAGCTTCTCCTTAAAGGTCTGGCTAAACATTCTTTTGGTACATCTGACTCTTGTAAGCCTATTACTTTTCTGATCCTTAGGAAACTCTTGTCCTCACTTTCTACTAGCACCTACTCATCCTATGTCAAGTCTCTTCTATCTAGTTCCTTCTTATTGGCCTTCTATGGCTTTCTGAGACCGGGGGAATTAACTTAATCTAATAGATACTTTAATCATTCCAGAGATTTGTCCATCTCAGATATTCGTTTTTACATTGACCATTCCAAATTATCCTTGAAACATTCTAAAGGTAAAGGCGCTTGTTCCATTTTCATCGCACGAACAGATGGCCCCCTCTGTCCCTTTCTCGCCATGTTCGATTTCGTTCCAAAACGACACTCTAAGCCCTCTCATTCAAAGGCACTCCTCATTACACCTGAGGGTTATCCTATGTCTACTCGATGGTTCCTTCACCACCTCAGAATACTTTTAGAATCATGTGGCCTTCCCTCTAGTGGGTATTCCGGGCATTCATTCCGCATTGGAGCAGCTACAACAGCAGCTACTCGTGGGGTTTCTGAGGCTTCCCTCCAGCAACTGGGCCGATGGTCATCATCAGCTTATACCTCATACATCCGCCCAGAACTCTCATCAATTCTTGCAACTCAGCGCTCTCTCTGCCTCTAGGTAACTCTATCACAAATACTGGTGGTGGTTCGAACTCATTCTTATCATTTTCTGACTTAATCATGACCATCCTCTAACTCATTTTCTTCTACTCCTACTCTTTATTAGTTATCTACATTATTCCCTGCTTCATGCAGTCTTCCATGCTGTCTCCTTGCTATATTCATGCAGTCTTCATTCTGGCTCGTATCCGTGCAATCCTACGTTTTATGTCAGGCAATAACAATGCATTCTCTTGTGTGTCTTGTCGCGTCTGGTCTGCGTCTCGTCATGCGTCCTTCATGCATTCTGACATGCATTCCTTGATGCACTGTCATGCACCCTGTCTGTGTCTTGTCACGTGTGTTGTATTTCGTCATGGTATTTCTTTCATATATGTTATCATCCGCAAGATTATTATCAGACTCATCCGCAAGATCATTATCAGACTCATCCGCAAGATTCATTATCAGACTCATCCGCAAGATTCATTATCAGACTCATCCGCAAGATTCATTATCAGACTCATCCGCAAGCTCATTATCAGAATCATCCGCAAGACTCATCATCATCATCATCATCATCATCATCATCATCATCATCATCATCATCCTTCTCCTTCTGGTAAGTTTTCGGCGTCAACCGTGGTTGCCATTCTCAACAACAACTTGGCTCGGTAAGCTGTTTGCAAACCTTCTCAGCATTTCATTACACATTCTTTATTCTGTTCCTAGTATCTGCCTTATGAGCATACGAACTATCCGGCCTCGACCTCGGCTTTTTTTCGGGGAACATCCCTATTCTCATTCATCTACTTATGCATATTAAAGCATAATTCAGCATGAATGTTCCTGCCGAGGTCTGAGCGCCAAAGACTATACTTTCATATCAATAAAATTCTTCTAATTATCTTTTCTCTCTGTGTGAGTTTTTCAGATTGAAATGAAGCTCTAGCGGAAGTTCAATTGAAGAAACTCTGACTTACCTCCATCAATCAGAAGCTGATCCATCTCCGAAGCGAGCCAATCAGCTTTGAACTATTCCACCACGAAGCCCAATCAGCATCCTGCTTTCACTTTAAAAGCACCTTCAAATCCTCGTCTCAGCCCGCTATCCAGCAAACGCAATGCCAGATCTTGATTCAGACGACAATTCACCCACCTCCATCCCCTCCTCCGCCATCGTAGCTGAGTCGTCTTCCATGACATGACTTCTACCTCAACCTCTTTAGAGAGTATTAATCCCAGTCGTCACCATCCCTCGTCTCATTGCAATTGGTCCGGCAGAAGACCACCATGTTGAGCCCGGTTCTGCCAGAGGTTTCTTCCCAAAGGGGAGTTTTTCCTCTCCACTGTCACTTCATGCTTGCTCATCATGGACAGTTCATGGTACCTGCATCACCAAGCAGGACCTCTATGTCTTGAGTCTCTGAGTGAAGCC